CGGCTCGATAACGGAGGAGGAATTTGTAGCACAGCCATACCATTGCCAGCAAGTACGCTTTCAAACCCAGTAGAACGATACCACCAAAGATGATTAAAAGACTGAGCCACAGCTTGAGATGAAAAAGACAGTTTCCGCGAAAAGTAAAATAAAGCATATATATGAACATACATAATAAATAATATCGCTCAATGCTCTTCTTCTCAATGTATATATATATATATATATATATATATATATCATCATCATCATCATCATCACATAGATCATGTCACTATGACAAGGATCTGTAAGAGGACAAAAGTTAATGACATCACATCATCCTCGTACAGCGAAATACAGTGAAGCAAACTTCACTGACCGCTGCCAAACTCGCAATGCATACAAGGTTAGTGGTAAAATTTAAGGTGGACAGGGATTGGATCTATTTTGAGAGAGGGAGAAAAAGGTGAACCTCTATGGTCAATACACAGAGTACGCAATCGAACTCTGCATACATACCGTTTCAAGCATTCTGACCTGATAAGAAACGACAACAAGAACTCCACTGCTGTCGGTTCGCTGCCATATCCTTCAATGTCTCCAACCAACCAGTTGTGGAGTCTTTCGGACCCCAACCTGGAAGGCAAAAGACACTTACTCTACCCAATGGCTCTGTGCATTTCTTCATGCCTCGTCTCCACGTCATCTGTTGACCTCCACGTGATTTCCTCCAGCCCGGATTAGCTACAGCGAATAAAGCGCGGTGCGGCAGACGATGGCTAGGCATACGCAATATGTGCCCTAGCCAGCGAAGCTTAGTAATCTGAATTCGGTGTGCTAGCAGGTTTATCTCTGATTGACTCCCAAACACACGACGGCCTACTTCCACGTTACTAACCCGTTCGCTCCATCCCATGTGGGCTAAACTGCGTAAACACCGATAATCGAAAACTTCTAGTCGACGGATATCTTCTACTCACAAATTTAGGGTCTCACAACCATAAAGCAGAACTAAACGAACGCTAGCACAATATAAACAATCCTTCAACTTCAGTGAAACGTGGCGTCTACGCCAAAGGTGTTTCAGTCCTGTGTATGCTGCTCGAGCCTTGGAAATGCGGGTGGCTATCTCCCTTGCTGCACTACCGTCATTGGTCGCACAACTATCTAAGTAGGAAAAGCAATCCACCACAACTAAATCTTGGCCATTTGGTGTCAGAGTGGGGGTAAACGAAACCCAGTCCTGCAGCATCACTTTGCACTTTGAAGGTGCAAAGCACATACCGAATATGGCCACTGCACCTGTTAATCTATCAAGTGCACTTTGCGCATCCTCCATACATTCAAACAGACAGACGACGTCATCGGCGTACTCCAAATCGCACAGCTTTTCTCCAGCTGTCCATTTAATGCCTACATTTTGGAGTCCCCTTAGTGCGTTTTCGAGTATTTCGTCTACGATGAAATTGAACAGGAACGGCGAATGAGGGCACCCTTGACGAACGCCGCTGCTGGTGACGAATGGTTTACTTAGTTCGTTGTAGGCCCTTACCCAACCGGAGGTATGTGAGTACAATGACCTCGGTAGGTTACCGTACTTCTGGGGCATTCCTTTTCGAAGAAGGGAGTTCATCTGATCCTGCTGCCCTTCATTGTTTCAGAGTCTGAGTGCAAGACCGAACTTCTGCTTCTGCTGGAGGATCGCACATCACTGCCCAAGGAGCTTCAATTGCGGATAAGGCAACCTGGTTAGCGGCAAGCCAGCTGAAGTATTCCGCCCAGAGATCGAGTCGTTGATTCCTATTGTGAACAGCTTGTCCCATCTTATCACGGACTGATTCACTAACTGCAGTTCGCCGACCTCTCGTATTGCGTATCGGTCGGAACAGCCTTTGACTATTCCCTGATGCAGCTGCTACTTCCATTTCACTAGCCATTGTTGCCCACCAGTTCTCACGGTCCTTCTTGAGACTCCTCGTGAGCCGACGTTGTAGCTGCCGCCTCACTCTATTTTGATCCTGGCAGGTCGGGACTTGCCGTTTTTGCTTCATCAGGGCTACTGAGTCTTGAGATATCCAATGGGTTTGAGGCTCAGACCCACAAGCAACATTCGCTGCGGAATGCATGGCTCGCCTAATCTGACCCCACCGCTCGTCTACATTACCACGCTGAAGCGCACTTTGCTTACGCACTAGCTCTGACTCATGGTGTGCATGAATGGCTGGAGCAGATAGTCGTTGATTACCTATTCGAGCTTACTGGTTTCGTCGCCGATCAGTCAGTCGGAGAGCGAACCGTATCAGAACTAATGCGTGGTCAGACTCAACGCAGGTCGTCCAATAGGACCTGCAATTTTGCACTGAGCCACGTCAACGGTAACTTACTGCGATGTGGTTGATTTGAGTTAGCGTACGAGTTGAACTGGAGCGCTACGTTGCCGTCCGTCGAGAGCTGTGTCGGAAGTCGGTGCTTGATAGGAACAGATGATGGTCTGCGCAGAACGGAAGAAGTTGGCAGGACAGAGCACGACTACCGCCTAAGCAAGCTTCTGAGGCGCTCAGTTTTCTAACTTGTGCGTTGAAGTCACCTGCAAGTACAACTATGTCGGAGCTTCGACTCATCCGAATGAGATCGGTCAGTTCATCGTAGAAAGCGTCCTTTAGGGTATCAGAACTGCAATTGGTCGGTGCATATGCTGATACGATAAACAAACACCTTTTAGTGCTGCTTCCCTTCCGGACGCTGATTGAACCCTGGAGACGCACTGCACATAAACGAGTGTTGACGAGGATCCAATCGATATAAGAGGATTCCGCCCTATTATTCAGTACAACACCTACCCCGCGCTGACCTACTGAACGAGCTTCATTGTCGCCTGATGTGTGAAGAACGTATCTCGTCGGAAAATCTGGCGCGCTCAAGTGGCTTCATCATCATCATCATCATCATCATACAGCGAGATATAGTGTATCGAGCTTCTCTGATCGCTGACAAGCTCACAATGTACACAAATCAAGTGATAAGGCACAAGGTGGAGAGGGATTGGGCCTACTTGGAGGCGCGGTGCGGCAGACGATGGCTGGACATGCACAATACGTGTCCTAACCAGCGAAACCGACTAATCTGAATTAGATGGGATAACGAATTCTCCATGCAATCATTACCAAATACGCGACGCCTCACCTCAGAGTTGCTTACAAGCTCGCTCCATCCAACCCGCGCCA